CGGAAATTCGATTTATCATCAAGTAAGATTTTCTTTTTAAATATTCAAATTGGAAATTACTTTAGGAATATTGAAAGTCATAAGATGGTCTTATAGCTTTCTCATCGAGGGTATAAAATATATCACGATTCGATTTGAAGATTTGTGTGATTTAATTGTGAAGCAAATTTTATTCGTCCAAGGAGAGGAGAATCGATACACTACGCAAAGTTTGAAGAAGTAACCGCGTTAGCATGTAACGTAAGCGAGAATCGATGTAATTTTATTTGAAATGAACCTTTCAACTTAACGAACGAAGTAATTTTGAACGAGTTCCGGAAGGAGGCAATAAAAAGCGTTCAACTTTCAAAAAGAAGTATCCACCAAGGAACGTGCAACGAGTTTTCCGCCTGAAAACACTCCACGCTTTCCCACGACCGAATCGTTCAGCGAATCGCAAAAACCACAGCAAATGCGATTCGATGCGAAATACAGAGGCGCGGAACGTCTATAAAAATCAAATAAATACGATATTTGCATTTCTATCATCCAAATCTATTCAAACTCATCCACCCGTTTATAAGCGTAATAATGCAAGATAATTTAATTAATGAGCTTGCATTAAGCTTTTGCTTCGTCTAATTTAATTTGTATTTTAACATTCAAAGTCAAATTATTAAATTAAATTAAATGTACCAAATATTAATCCATGATGCTATATATATATATAATTTTGTCTAAAAAAAATTATTATACTATTAATGAATTATTAAGTTAAAAAAAAAAAGAGAGAATATAAACAATATTCAATCGATAACTTCAATGGTTTGACGTTGACTGCAAAAATTCTGAACTGAATCCACAAATTGAAAAACTTTAAATTAAAATTCTCTTTTGTTCAGTATTATGTTTAAATTTGATATTCTGAAATTCTCATTGCCGCGTGTAACAAAAATATAATAATTTATCAATACCAAAATAATAACAGACAAATTTTTGTTATTATAAATGTAAAAATCATATCTACAAAAAATATTCATTTAATATTGCATTCATCTTTAACATTAAAAAAGTCACAAAATTCATATTTATTCTATTTTATATAATATACTTCAATTTTATAAGTATACAAATAAATCAAACTGAATGCCAGAACATATGCTGCCTTGATTACAAATCATTTTCCAAAAAGCAATTTTCAAAAAAACTATCAATCAAAATCTATAAATGGAATAAATGTATAACAAAAAAATATGGATATTGAGAAACTCCACGACTTATTTAAAAATTCTAAGAGTTCGTGAAATGTATGCAATTAATTAATACCTCATACATATCCTTTTTGACATATCTCGATTCGTTTGAAATTCAATACAACCCGGAAGTGTTTTTTTCGAAACATTGTGTTGTTCAACTTCGCTAGTAACTGGAGAAAAAAAGTCTATCGAAAAGGATATAACGGAGTCGACAAGAAGGCATCGAGACGAATTCGCAACGCGTGTCATCACGATTCACGGCTCGCGTGTTTCAATGGCTAACCGAGTGCACACCGTACACACCGAATAACGAATGAATCATAGGAACTCTCGCCACACTGTACACACGAAACCGCGGTTCACTTTCTCCTCTCAGACTCGTCCTCAATTACACGGAGCCGAGACCGAGGCCTCGTGTAATTATACGGGTGAGGTAGCACCGGGCAACTTAGTGAATCGCGCATACATTTTTTCTTTCCTCTTTTTTCTTTTTTTTTTCAGACTGGAAGAGACCCCTTTCACTCGTCTCGCGTCACCGAGACCTAGTTTTCTTTTTTCCGAAAAGACTAAAACGAACATTTTCTTATTTGTTTGTGACAAGCGTTTCTCTGCTTTCTATTTCCCCACTATGAATTGAATATCTTCCGTGCGTGTTCCTCTATACGTATTACAAATATTGAAACTTGAACGACATTGCTTGATGAGCAAAGAGGATATAGCGAATATTAGTCGAAATCGAAAACGAAAGAAACGAAATAAAAATTTGTGAAATAGAGATGGGTTAATCGTGTAAGTTATTAATCTTGCCGATAATCTTAAAATTTGTGTAATTTTTTTGTCTAATTTGTCATGATGATAAATCATTTTGTTACAAATTTTAAAAGAACTACTAATTAACGACATCGTACAAAATTTAAATAATGTGTTCAAAGAGAAATTGAAATTTATTCACGATAAAAATATATTTCTAAATTTTGAAAATTATTAATTAAATGATATTATATAAATACGTCTAAGTAAATTACAAAAGTTTTTAAAAATTTTGATTTTAAGCATTTTAAAAGAAATATTTATTATTTTAAAATATTATAATAATTTATCATTTTTAAAATAATAAGGAATCAATTATAACGAAAACAATTAACTTTACTCGCGCTAATTATTCTATGACTGTTTGTAATGTCTATTCGAAAGTTTCATCATAGGCTGAGAACTAAACTTTCAACTTGATTTTCCTGTTGAGAAACAAATATAGACATTGCGGTACACATGAGTTACAGAGAATTACGGAAGAAGGAAATTTACGTACACACAATTCTTCAATTTATCTCATCAAAGAGATTGAGCAAGTCAAAAATAATAAAATTTGCGTAACTGTAATGCGTTCATGTGTGAATATTAAAAGTGAAAATATAAAATTATATTTGTTATAATTTATAAAAATAAAATTATATATTGAAAGTTTATACATATTTAAGAAAAATTGAATTGAATAAAAATGTATTAAATATTTTTTATAGTATAATAAATCGCATAGAATTTTTTATCGAGTAAAAAAATGTTTAAGTTAAAGTTTGAATGTTTTCACAACAAATTTAATTAAAAAAAAAAAAAAATTTGAATAATTTAGAAGAAAACAACTACAAAAACTTGACTTCGTCACTATCGTGGGCAAAATGTGGATATAACCTATATATAATCTATTCAGTAAACAACTTTACCACATTAAAAAGCAAACAATAACTAATCAATTTATTCTTACAACTTTTTTAAAGATCTTATTATAAGTTTCAAGTAGCTAGCTCTTCTGAATATTGAAAATTACTTTATTTGTAAAGTTATTTGTAAACTTGGAATGTGATAGCAACTTAAAAGATATATTTTGCGAATAAATTAGCTCGAATTAAATTATAACATAGATTGCATAAAATTGATATAATATTGATATCGTGGAAAAATCATCATTAGTAAAATTTCATATAGATATACATATAGATAGATATTTGACACGGAACAAATTTCAAACGTGAAGAATTAAAAAATGTGAATCTATAAATATCATACATAATATGGATCATTTCAGTTTTTATAAAACTCGACTGAAATATTTTTTAAGAGAATAATATTAAAATAAATTTTAATATCCTTTTAAAAATAATAATATCTATTTTTAATACGAATTTAGATACGAAAAACGACCCTTGACATAAAGAAAGATGAAGCGAAGAAAGTGGAGGACGATAATGACGAGGTAGTATTCTCTGGAAGAGGAAATGACAGGCATAGGTACTATGGTGCCGAATAGTAAAAGTCGGAGAACAATGGATAAATGGAATGGTGCAGCCGAGACCTTTCAGGCAATCGGGTAACTGGCAAAAATCGTGAAACACAATGGATAGAAGAACGCCTTCCCTTCTGGTCCGCTTTGCAATTCCCCCACGTTTCACCGAGCATTCCCTAACGTAACCACTCGTACAACCTAACGCGCCTGCGCCCCGGCACACCCACTTGACCCCGAAGTTGAAAGAAATTAAATTATGTAGGCTCTAATGTGTTCTCCAAGCCACTAAATAGTCTCCATAAACCCGGTTAACTTCCGAATTCCATCGATATCGCGAAATTTTTACCATTTTTCAAATGGACTGTTTTGTATCAACATATATTTTAATTCTAATGAATTAAGTAAAATTTTTTATCGTCGCGTAATAATCTTATGTTAATTTTACAATCGATAACGATGATATTTATCATAAATCATTTACTAATATGATCAATAATTGTAATAAGCAACGATTACAAATATGAATAAATAATATGATCTAAAATTATTAAATTAGAATTATATTAGAAGATATTTAAGAATTTAATATAAAAATTGTAAAAATTTCTACTTATATTTAATAAAATCAAATATATATTATTTAATAGTATTTTATTATTATGTTGATATATCACAGGATAATTTACCATGCATTACTTTAAAAATTAAATATGAAATTATATATATAAAAAAAAATAAATAGATTAATTAATAATTTATATAATATTAAATCTAAATCTTTTATTCAAATTTCGTGCATACTAATTAAAATAATCTACATATATATATATATATAATCTGTTTAAGGAATCTAACCAAGAAATAAATAACATTGATCACGTGATACATACAATAGCACCAGCTATTGGTTATTAATGAATTATTATTTTTAAGAATAATTTTTTATTATTATAAAAAATATATCTATAAATTGAATGATACATTTGGTTGAATAGCAACAAGTATATTTATTCTATCTAATTCAATGGATATAATTTCCCCATATAAAAGAATTCTTCATCATGCAATTTTATTTACTTTTGTTTAACTCATCGGATGCATTATTGAATTTTTTTTTCAATAATTATAATTTTTAAATAAATATATCACGTTTTACGATATTTAACCATATTTTTTAATTTGCATAAGATAATTTAAAAATAAATAATTAAATAAAAATAAATAATTTAAAAATAAATCACAATAATCTCAAATATATCTATTTAATTTTTATATTATATATTATATATTTCGTAATTATAATTCACGATTAATAAATTATAAAGAAGTAAACATATACAGCCATCTAGCGGTACAATACTCAAATATAAGAACGGTTAATATCGATCAACGATGACTGTAAAACGTCATCGTTCACAATACTTATCGTTGAATGTTAATAGCAAATAATATTTTATTAATGTATGACAGAAAAAACTCTAAAATTAATTCTAATATTATAAATTCTTTATAATATTAAAATTAAAAATAATTCATTAAATAAACAAATATTTTAATCACATACCTTGTAAATTGTCCAGCATATATGACAGCAGCTTGTGAGTCCCTGATGGTTCTCCATACAACGCCAATATTCCTTGCTGAGTGGATTACCTTGAAGTCCAAGCACTTGTAATTGAAACAATTTTCCTAATTCATATGGTAACACTCGGAGGTAATTTTGGTTTAATAACAATTCTCTGAAAGATAAATAAAATAAAAAATAATATATATATATATATATATATATATATTTAATATGCATTAATTACATTATATTTATATAAATACAAATATAAATTATACCTGAGATAGATGAGGTCCCCCAATTCAGCTGGTAAACTGCGTAATTTATTGCTACTGAGATCTAAAGCACGTAAATTGACTAAACGTCCAATCTCAGATGGTATCCTTTGTAAACTATTATCATTGAGATACAAAGCTGTTAGATGAGTTAGTTGCCATAAATTTGGGCTTAAATTTCTTATACTGCCTGTTATCTCCAACTCTGGCCAATAAGATTTTTTTCCAGAGTTTGCATCCTCCGTAGACATAAAAGTATGTGTACGTCGTGGGTTGGAGTTTTCATACTTGTCTTTATGGTTGCGAGACATTTTAAATCCTAGACAGATATCAAAATAATATTTAAAAGAATCGAATATATATATAATTATTTAGCTATAGCATATATAAATTATAATAAATACAATCATTTAAATAGATTTCTTTAATATTTAAATAAAATTTCTAATTTATTTTCAACTATGTATTAATATATAAATATAATTTATTAAATCATAAATAAATTAATTAATCTAAAAGAAATAATCTAATCTAATTAACTAATCTAAAGAAAATACACAATATATGAAATATAATTTATTATAAAAATTAAATTATAATAATATTAAAATAATATACAATAATATTTTTATATGTTAAATAAACAAAATTATAATCATATTAATTGTAAAATTTTTTTTCATTGTAAAAAATATATATATATGTGTGTATATTCTTCAATACTTCATAAATATTATTAGTATTATGATTTTAAAAAAAATTATTTAATAACATAGAAATTAATTAAGAATAATACATAAAACTGCTTAATGTTTGATTATTGATATGATAAGTTATTTAATAGTTTCTTATTGCATACACAATCATTAAATTAAATGTAAAATTATTTTCATGAAAGACAAAGTATTATACATACATGTTATTTGTTTTGTTCATATTCTCTAACATAACTAAATCATATTTTTTACAGGGAAGAAATACAAATTATTTCACATTTATAACTAAATGTTTTATATTATTTAAGAATAATTTATTCAATTTGAAATACATCATTTAGTAATACTATGAAAGTACATTCATAACCTATGAAGTAAAAATGTAGATTACTGAGTGCTTGATATCCAAAAGATAACCGTATTATTTCTTACGAACGTATTGAACAAAAAGTATATAAGAAATGCTAATATAATTTTTAAGTAATGCCCTAAAAAGCAATATATTTTTTAATGTGAACAATCTTTTATCTCTAAACAGTTCGTATGCACGACAAATTTTCGCATTAACATACATTTCTCTAACCGGATAGTTTCCCTACCTTTTAAATTTAATACGAAACCCGAAGGAAACTGTTACGCACCTTCATCTACCTCTTAGCACACACAAAACGCACGATGTGTTGATACCGAATGAAAATTTACGCGTAAACAAAACTACCTTGACAAACACAAATCCTCCATTTATCAACTGCACTGATCGCAAACTATAAGTGATCGTGATTGGTCGCGTTACCTCCGAATCTTCCCGAAGCAGCCGACACAACCAAATGATCATCTTACATTAAAATTGTACTAAACAGAGCACATCTAGGGATTTTAATGAATATCATATTCATAATATATATACATAACTTTTTAAATTTTTCTATTAATACAATTGTAAGAATGAGTTAAAATAATAATTTCATATTGAAATAAAGAATATAAAAACTTTTATTGTTAAACTATTT